TCAAGATTAAAATATTTTGGGCACGAAGGGAGCAATGAGTACCCACATTGGGGCATAACCAGAAACCCAGATCATGTTGAGATGACAAGATTCAGACCAATAAGACATTGAGAATGAGTCTTACCACTTGAAGTGTCAGGGGAAAACCGTGAATTTGAGCAGAGCTTACCTTGTAAAGCAAACCAACCGAGCATGAATCAATGGCAGAGTCCGAAAAGAACAACTTAGAAAGCGTAATTGAGCCAAGGATGGAAATGGGGCAACACAGTGGTATTTCTGATCATAGCAAGAAGTTGACAGAGAAAACAATTTCTCCGAAATGAAGATAAAAAAAATGAAGACAACAAGAAGATAGAAGAAGATCAGAAGGCTCTTCAAAAATGCAAGTTGAAAATTATGAGTTGTTATACGGATATCTAAAGTAAACCCCGAAAAGGAATGATCAAGCAGAAGAAGACTAAGTTTGTCACTTTGAGGTCAAATGAAGATGGAATCGACATTTATGCATTTATGAGAACATCATTTGCATAAAAGAAACTGCATTACATTGATTCATTTAATTGCATTCGTGTTTCATACATAAACACATGATTTTGACAGATCTTCCAATGAAAAGAGAATATGCAGGATGTTAAAATTCCGACGATTGAAAGGTAGAAGTCAAACATCAAACAAGAAATGTTTCTTACCCAGTAAGCAATTTAAGTCCTTAGTGTCATCAGTAAGTCTTTCGAGCATGATGATGAAGTCCTTCGGGCCATCAGTAAGTCTTTTGAGCATGATGATTAAATCATTCGGGTAATTTGTAAGCCTTCACCGAAGAGTAGTGAAGCACCATCTTAAGCCTTCACGGAAGAGTAGTGAAGCAAATCCATCTGTAAGTCTTTAGAGCAAGATGATAAATCCTTCGGGCCATCCGTAAAACCTTCGGGTAAGATGTTTTCACATGAATTTGAAAATGAAAAAACCATGTTTTGAGAAGATGAAATTTTTGAAAACAAAGAATGCGATTTTCAAAATTTCACAATTTACAAGTCTTTCAGGCCATCAGTAAGTCTTTCGAGCATGATGATGAAATCCTTCGAGTCATCAGTAAGTCTTTCGAGCATGATGATTAAATCCTTAAGGTAATTTGTAAGCCTTCACGGAAGAGTAGTGAAGCAAACCCATCAGTAAGTGCCATCAGTAAGTCTTTCGAGCATGATGATGAAATCCTTCGGGTCATCTGTAAGTCTTTCGAGCAAGATGATAAGTCTTCCGGGCCATTTTAAGCCTTCTCGGAATAGTGTTGGAGCAAGCCATCAGATCATCAGATGTGGGAAGAAATTGAAGGTTCTCGAGTACAAAGAAGCGGATCAATTGATTAAAAGGAAATGCGCATGGGGAGTCATTAACCAATTCAAAGTCCCAGGAAGAGAGAGGTTCATATGGCAGTCGAGTCCAAGAATATTCTCATATCTAGTTGTTGCGAGACAAACTCCCTCAAGAGAAATGGATTCTCAAAGATTCTCTTAAATTCTAAATTTTTTCTAGTATAATAATTTTCAAATCTTCAAGCATACATTAATAAGTGGAAACATTTGATTTTCAGGTTTAACCTTCGAAGTTGAGCCTTCATGGAAGAATAGCGAAGCAGAATCACACCAGAAGATTGTTCGAGTTCTACTCCCTGAAGTAAGGAGGAGCAAACCCGTAGACAGAAGATTGTTCGAGTTCTACTCCTTGAAGCAAGAGGGAGCGAACCCGTAGGAAGAAGATATTTTGAGTTATACTCCTTGAAGCAAGAGGGAGCGAACCCGTAAGCAGAAGATTGTTCGAGTTTTACTCCTTGAATCAAGAGGGAGCGAACCCACTGGTTGAAGATTGTTCAAAGAAGAGGGAGCAGATCCCTCATCAAGTTTCAAAGCACGAAGATAGAACTGGACAAAAACGCACAATCTTTTGATCTTTGCTCTATTATCGTTGCACGACAATGAACAAAGAGGGGCAGCTGTAGATGCTCGTTTTTATCCAGGGCCGAGTCGGAGCAGACTCGAAGCAATCGTAACCTAACCCGACCTTGAACCAGTTGCAGGCCCAACTCAAGCCCAATGGACGACAATTGATTGTAGAGGAAAAGAGAGGTTAACGTTGGTTTTTAGTAGTTTTTTTTATATACGGGGGGATTATCAACTATCAGGGGGAGAGCATTTGAGGGGGAGAGGAGAACACAGACAAGACGGAAAGGAGAAAGAACAATTTGTAAAAATTTCTGGTTAACCATTTTTGAAGCAATAAAAAGGAAAAAAAAATTCTTTTCTGATTTCATGGTCCCATTCAAAGGAAAACATCAATCGTTCAAAAGGGCAATAGCATTTTCTCAAACAAAAACAACCAAAAACAAAAAGCATTACCAAGGAGGTATTTTTATCTTATTTTATTTACTTTCTAGTAACTATTCGTATGCGTGTGTGGTATTTGTATTAAAAAGAAAACAAGGGTTAGAAGCTTACCGATTTGAGTCACTGGGATTAACACTGAAGCATGGATAGTTGTTCGGGAAACCTTGCATGTGGGTTAATAGTTAGTTTCTAGGTTGGGATTTTAAAATTGAAGAGTGAGGTTAAAAGAAAGTTTTGGTCTAACTTACCTTGATGTGTTTGGGTCTTCACCGGAGTAGGAACTTTGGTCTCATTAGGTCGCCAGAGAAGTAGAGAGTCACTGTTGAGGGTGGTCATCGGAGAGGTTTTCTTAACCGGTGAGAATCGGGGGCCATTAGGACTCTCAGCTAAGAAAGAAAATAAATATGGATGGGATTTGAGGAGGAAGAGAAATATGAGAGAGTTTAGGTTTTTACTTAGTCCTTTCGATAGCCATCATCGAACAATCGGAGCGGTGGCGTTGGGAGGTAGTTGTTGAAGTCCACGGCTGCGTGCAATGAGTGTTGAAAAACCAGAGGAAGAAAGAAGTGAGGAACGGCTATTAGTTTTGTTTGTAGTTAGGTTTATTTTAATATTAGGTTTAGTTTAATATATATATTAGGAATTTTGGATTAATCATTTCTTGGTCACCGAATCTTAGAGGTAAATTAGGTTTTAGTCCATTTAGTTTATTTGTTTGTACTTCATACTATTCACGTATTTGGTCTGTTGTTTTAAGTTTTTTTTTTATTTCAGTCCTATGCATGCTTATGGTTTATTAGCAATTTAGGATCCGAGTTACCCATCCTTCATGTTAAAGTAGCTTGTATTTGTTTAGTATGCTGGTTACTTCCCTTAAATTTGTTATTATTGTGTTTTAATCACTGTTTTTTTCCTGTTTAAGCATGTAAGTTAACCCCTTTGTATATATGAATATTTATGTATACATATATTCAACTTGTATCATATTAAGTTGTATATTTTATTGCATTATGTATAAATATATAGGATACATGTAGTTTCATTATACCATGTTTCGATGCTATGCATATAGGCCATTTAAGTTATACTTATTATTTTGTAAACATGATTTATTATTTTATAAATATTAATTGGGCATGTATTGTATGTTATAATTAAGGGTGAAATCATATTATTTTACTAAAAACATATGCAAGTTGTGCGAATATTTTATTCTATGCGATGGTTGCCCTATTTCTGTGTATATTAATATTGTTAATTACATGATACCCGTTTTGTATAATATGTATGAAAACCTCATTTGCATAACTCAACATATTACATAATCGGACTAAGGGTAATGCCCTTTTAATTTAAAATTGTCTTGAGTGGCTTGTCTTAACTGATTAGAGAGTCGTTTTGACTATTTTAAATTAAAAGTGTGTCCCGAAAGTGAAAAAAAAATTGATTCGTCACCTAAAATTTGGGAACGAAAGAAAAGAAAATGTTCGTTTATTCAAATTTATCGAGAAAAGATTGTTATAACTTTTAAGATCTGGTCTCGATATTTGTAAATAATTGAACATTCTTTATCTTTCTAAAACGACTCGGTAATTTTAATTTAATTTATTTGAGTGCTTTTGAATGTTTTTAAATTTACATCTTTGTTTTATGGGATCAAAAATCAAATTGAATTCGAATTTATAAAGTTCATTGCAAATACGCTAATTAATCGACTAGGTACCGTTTTAGGGCGTTGTGGGGGTGCTAATCCTTCCCTGCACGTAACCGACTCCCGAACTCGGATTTTGGTAACGCGGACCTTAATTTGTTGTTTTAATTAAAATTAATTTTTATTTAAAATAACAAACATTTTTGGGTGCCCAATCACACCCTAATCAAAGATTGATGGCGATTCTTTGAACCGTTTTTTTTCGATCGTAAAGGAAATCCAAAATTTTTCGAAACGAGAGGTCTTTTAAATCGCATTTTGTTTTTAAATTAAAAAGAAGAATTAATGTGGTTTTTAAAATTTCACTTTTTCACCTTTAAGAAAAATCGTTTCGACACTAACCATACTCGACGACACTCCATTACCAAACTCTCTGACCAAGCTTCGACTATGGAAAACCACTCTGCGAGAATCTTTGATTTATCGTTCTTCACACTTCTCAAGGAAGCATTGTCTTCGAAAATCATTAAAATCGCATTACCAGCAGCTCTCATTAAGGTGAAGCCAGTGAGGCCCTTCGTTTGCATTTGTCTGGCGAGATGACCAATTTTGACAAAGTCCTTGCACCACCCCACTAGACAATTGCTCAACACCTGAAGTTTTTCTTCATCTATAACACCTTCAACTTTAAAATGATTCTTCCTCGAAACATCCTCCGTCTCGGACTTGCGAAGAACACCTGTCGAGGACTTTCTCCAATAGGAATGTCGATGTTTGAATTTAGCGAAAGAAACACCAATTTTTCTGCCGTCGATACGAGAGCCATTCATTTTTGAGATCGCTCTCCTAGCTTCTTCGATTGATGCGAAGCGAATAAAACCAAAGCGAACTCCTTTTGAGTTCCTTTTATTTGGGATAAAAGCATCAAGTACACAACCATGGGAGCAAAATAAAGCTCCAAGCCTCTTCTAATGAATCTTCTCCAGTAAATTTTCAGCAAATATCGTGTAGCGTCCATACTTGTTATTACTGCACCCTTTTGTGGTGGACTCCTTGGTTCCCTCGTGGACACCATCTACTGCAGATTTTTCATCGCAACACCCATTTTTACCAATCATATGAATACTAGGAGATGCTACAGAAGCTGAATTTGGCATTGGCAGAACATGATCACATCCATACTTGTCTAAAGCATCAGAATCTGTAACTATTCCTCTTTTAACAACAAGATTCTTCCTTGCCATCTCAATGTGCAGAAGGGACTTCAACTTATCATCAAAAACCATTTTCTGAAGTGCATCCTTGGCAGCAACTACAAAATCTGCATTTGAGAAGAGAGCGAAACCCTTAGGCTTTTCTCCCTTGAAGCTCACTTGCGAAGCTTCAAAACCTGGAAGCCATCTCAGTAGATTCTGCAGCTCTCTCTCTTTGACATCTTCAGGCAGACCCATAATTAATATCGTACGAACCTCGTCATGATGAGAAGGGTGAGATTGCGGTGAAGGCGCGACTGCAGAGGGCAGAGGAGCTTGGACTGGAGGTCCCTGGTGATGACAAGGGTGGATTCCAACACCCGACATTAGAGGAAAACTCAGTGACCTGACGTAAAATCCCTGTCGCGCGCCCAGTGATGGTGAATGTTGTGACTGGCCGGCGAAGAAGAGGAGGGTGGAAGGGATGAAGCGAGTCGGACAGGAAGGTCTTGAACTTTAGAGAAGGTGGAATAGCGTATTCTTCCTTCAACGAAACTCTCAGACTTAATCTGGTTCGTGAAAACAGTGACTACCGGTGAAGAATAGAAGGGCGGAAGTGATGGAAAGAGTCCGACAGGCAGATCTTGAGCCTGAGTGAAGGAGGAACTACGAGTTGACCTTCAACAAAACCCTCAGAGATGAAATATATCGGGAGAACAACTTGGCAGAACCATGGCTTGTTCTGCTTTGTTGAACTAGTCAAAGGCAGACTCACGGGGAATGGCAACAAGTCTGAACGCTAAGATAGAAAGGATTAGATCGCGAGTGTACGACGAGCCCGGAGGAATGACGGTGAACTGACGACGGTCGGCGGCTAAAATCATAGAAGAACGGCGATTAGATCTACGCCAAATGAATGACTTACTTGAAAATCTAATCTCAAAAATGAAATCAGAGTGAGGAGACGTTCTTCCTGAAGAAAAGTGGCGGCGGACGTCGGACTGCAGACAGCGGATGACAGACGGAAGACGGACGGAAGACGGCGGGCGGCGATGATAAACGACGGCAGGCGGCGATGGTAAAGATGAGCTGAGATGAAGAATGAAAATAAAAGTCACCTTGAACCAAGAGAGAAGCGGGAGCTTCTCTCACTAGGTTTGAAATTCAAATGTTATTATTACCTAAGAACTTTTATTTTGAATGATTCAAAACTTTTGATCAGATTTTTGACATAATGGCATAATTCCATATTCTTGTTCAAGTCCAGGTAGAAATATCAAGGCAGAGTGCTTTTTAAAAGTAAACATTTATCCAAATATTCACTATATGTTCCCTCTATCATCCTTACAAACAAAATCAATGAAACTATAGAACTCCATCTTTCCTATTTCATTTTTCTTACAGAGAGACAGACATTAAATATCCAAAAGACAAATACTTTTTTTCTAAGACAATGTTAGGCATGAAAAAAATAATTACTTCTTTCTTTTCATACCATTTTCACATAAATGATTCAAAAGAAACAGTGTGAAGGAATTCTGCTAACTTACCTCGATTAACGTCTTCCGGTGCTTGACATCTTGAGTAGAAACCTCTTGCTTGAGATTGTAGAGACTTCCATCAATCTTCATTCCATATCAAGAAAGTTAAAACATTAATATGAATCTTATGGAATAAGAAAATGGAGGTTCAGAGCTGCCTATAAATGCAACATTGCATATACCTTAGGAATAAGTGACAGTAGTAAAGATCAAGCCTTGGAACCTCGAAAATATAGACAAATGGAGGGGGATCACAGCTGCCCATAAATGAAAAATATCATTTGTTAAAGTAAATGAGACTACAACAACATTTTCCTTCAGTCCACTAGAAAGGAGATTAAAAGTCTGCATTAAAACTTTCTCTTGATTTAGGAAACAGTTCTAGGTCCATAAATAAAGAACCCCAAATATAAAACAGTTCGAAGTCCTAAAAATTTTCAGTGTTAAATCAATGTAGCCATTTCAGTAGCCCTTCAAATAGGAATACTGACCGGAAGCTTACATACATCCAATGTCCAATGTAGATCTGGCGTGTCATCCACTAGTTGGACAAACTTTCACTATCATTTCTCTTAATTCCGAAAATTATATACGTTAGTACTACATACAGAAAAGATTATCTAGAATTTCTATTAAAATTATATAAATATAAATAACTTTAAAAAAAGAAACATAATCTAGTTCAAATGCAGAAATCTTCAATAAAAGAAAAAAGTAAAATGACCCTCACAAGAAATAGAAAGTAAAATGAGGATAAGGTCTAGAAGTCAGCGTCTAGGGAGATTGGTTTCATCAAAATCTGAATATGCAAAAATACAGCTACAAGAAGATAAAAAGAAAATATAGGTTTAAAGGCAAGAAGAAGAGAAGTTTAGCAGCGATATGTCGAGATTTGCGGGTGATCTAACCTTGATCTACAGAGAAATATCAGGAGCAAGGATTGAGGGAAGATTCCAGGGATGGTTGGACGCAACCCAAAACCAGCAGTGGTCTTTGTTTGGGGTTGAATTGAGACTTGACCGGAGTTTTTCTTTTCTTCAAATCAAATAATGAGGGAGGATTACCTTTAACGACTTGGTTTGAAAATTGAGATTGCTTCCCCTCCTCGTCTTGAAGATACACTCGACGGATTTAGCGAGAAATGTCTTTAGTATTGTTAGTACAACTAATACCCGCTTTGCTGGAGGTTTAATATTTTTTATATAATTTTTAATTAATAAATAAAATTAATTATAAGTTGAACTCTTTTAAACAATTGAGTAAAATTTAATTTATTTTTATGAGTTAATTGCATTATACCCTCATTTTAAATTGATCCTTAAATTTTAGAATATTTATCATTGAATTATGACTCTTATTTTAAATTAGTCCTTAAATATTTTAACATTTTAATTTTATCTCTAAACTATGACCCTTTTTGTAAATTAGTCCCCAAACTTTTGAGTCTTCCAATTTCATCCCCAAATTCATTCAAATATGTAATTAGTTTCAACCATAGTTTAACCTAAATTTTGTTTTTCAAACATATAATAATATAACTTGGCCTAACGATTTTATTAACATGAGATGTGATTAGTATATACATACAGTTTGAGATAAAATTGAAATGTTCGAAAAGTTTTGGGACCAATTTAGAATGAAGGTCATAGTTTGAGGATGAAATTGAAATAATCAAAAGTTTGATGATTAATTTAAAATGATAATCATAATTTAGGAATGAAGTTGAAATTTAAAAATTTAGAGATCAATTTAAAATGAGGGTCATATTTGAGAACATTGATACAATTAACTCTATTTTTATTCATGTGTAAAATGTATATGCATTTAAAAGATGAATTCTTTCTTTAATATATATATATATATATATTAAATAAAATAAAAATTTTAGTATTTATCAATTTTCTCACGCGATTTGAAGGTCATGATAGTGTTGCTTTTAAATTTTGTATTATTCTATTGGATAAAGATTTTTAATCGACATTTCATCCTTTGTCTGCCAACATTTTTAAACACCATTATTTAAAAATATGAGTTAATAATAATTCAGAAAAAATATCATTTTCGCTAATGACAATTATTAATGACGAGAGCCCAAAAGGGTAATTTACTCTCAAACGCAAAATTAAAAATGAAAAAATTAAAAGTCATAACTTTTAGGATTAGTTTGAAACTTTCGTTTCAACCTAAATTTCTTTTCTTCGTTTACACTTTGACATTTATTTTACGGTCAAAACGAATTTTTTAACTAAAAATGCTTTTAGAAAACATTACCAAACAGACCCTATTATAATAATAATCGGAAAAACATCTCCATTTCCTAATGACGAATTATTATTTTCCCAGGTAAATTTTCAATCCATCAAACATATTCTTACTTCTTATGAGTAAGCATAAGGCTATAAAAATAATATGCATGGTAAAATAAAAACAACGTAACGGTCGCAACCAATAAACTACAAGCAACTGAATAGTTCAGCGACTTTCACTCGATTTCCAAGGATTCTCCCCGTAGTAGCATGCAGTGCCAACCATAAGAGCAACTGTAGCCCCCTGAACTACCACCCTAGCTCTCATTAGCATCTGGCCCAACCGAGAATTGCCTTGTCTAAAACTGATTAACCCAGCAGTGAGCACTCCAGCCGTAATTAGTGCACCTGTATGTTACACAATTGCCCATATCTATTTAATTCCAAGCATGAAGAAGAATATCACAGCAGGTGAAAGAGTGAAGAAAAGAATTAGTGGCTACAAGTTTCATTTCAATTTATTTCAATGACCTCATTTGCATAACACAACAAAGAAGAAAGAAAAGCCCAAGCGTTATGCCGAGGCTAGGATCAAGTACATCACAAAATTTGAATGGCAATAATGCTAAAATTCTCATGACCATAAACCATCTTCAAAAGGAAAAGTATCTTGGTTTATACAAACCCTGATGTAATGTAAAAATACCAGTATAACTCTGTTCTATGAAATATTAACAATATATATAATCTTAAGTAAGCTACTTCCTCAATAGTTAAAAGTAGGGATCAGCATCAATTGGATTCAGTGTTTAAGATGGCTAACAACCTCTATAATGTTATAGCAAATGCATACAATAATACAAGCTATCAATCTGACTAAGATAGTCAGAACTACCCAAGTGGAAGAAAACCAACAAATAATTACATAATAAAGAAAAGTTCAAAATGATGACAAAAAGAGCAAAATTGAACAAAGTACTATACAAATCTCTTTGCTACATTCCTCAGGGAAGGGTCATTAGGTCCAAACCAAAATAGGTTTCTTCCAGGTTGGATAAAAGGTGGATTCAAGAATCCATCCCAGTTAGAACTTTGCAAGATGGTTGGTTAGGCAATAAATTAAAAAAGAAAAGTCCTTGGCAAAAGGCATAAGGTTCGTAATATAGAAGGTGCAAGTAATGTCATTGATTAAGTTTCGAACACACGGTATTCATGTCTAGGTTTGATCAGACTGACGGCATCTCACAAGTTGAAAGTTGATATATAAAAAGAGCATCTTAGGATTCAACTAATTAATGGAAGTGGTAGTGGCATTTACAGTGAAGCAATGATCACCCTAATTGCCACCATCAATCACAATACTTAGGTAAAAGTAAATTTGGGAAAATAAAAAAATGCATAATGGTCAAACACAGGACATGGCTTTATGTTGAGCTTTCAAACTTATCGCCAAAATGCAGTGAAGATAGGTTTCAAAATTTCCTCTAGAAAACAGAAAATAAGTTTTTAGTTCATAAACTGATCTGATATAATTTTAATATGCTCACTAGTATAGTATCGTTTCATGCAGGGATGAATGGGGGTTGAAAACTTAAAATTACTAAATATTTTAGATTTTTTCTATGTATTTTCTATTGAAAATCTGTTTTCGACCTCCCTCTCAATCTAGAGTTTTATAATTTCATCTCTTCCTAAAATTTTAATTTGCCCCCAACATAAAATTCTACGTTTGTCCCTGATTTCATGCAATACTGGTTCTATTTAAGGGTAGGAAAAAGAACACGAGACAAAGCAGCTAGGTAGTCCATGAAACTAGAAAGAAAATATCAAGCTAGGTAGAGCCCTCAAGCATCAACAAACAAGAATAAGGTGTAAAGCGATACACTCAAATTGAGTACAAAGAAAAATCCAATCATCCATCAAAGTGTCCTATTACATCCTTTCCTTAGTTTTAAAAGGCGCAAGGCACACAGAGGGGCAAAGGGTTCCTGGAATTGTAGGTGAGGCGCACTTTTTGTGCTAAAGTATTTATAAATCAATTCTAGAGCATATCTATACTTATTATCCACTAATTTACTCCTGAAACACTTAATCTCCTCCATACACTTCGTTCCTTCACCATTATTTTTCTACTTCTCAAAACTCATTTCTAATATTCGTAAAATCTCAATTTCAAAACATTTCACCAGAGTTAGTTACACTAATAAACCTGCGTCATTTTATAAATTCTCAAAATCATCACATTAATATTTTAAAATCATCAAATATAATTTTAAATCAACAGAAGATGATTCAATATATGTTTAAACCAAAAATGATTTTACTTTTAAGTATGAGTTAAACTACTCTTAAAATTATTCTTTTTAATTTTTACTGTAATTAAAGGATAATTATTCAAAAAAATATTTTACTTTAATTAAAGGGTATATTAAAAAAATTATTCGGTATTTATAAAATTAAGTATCATTTAAATGCAGACTTTTTGTGATAAAAAAATTAAAAAAGACAAAGCATGACTGTTGTTACCCACCTCACACGTGTAACTTGAACCAAAAAACACTCATATCTACTTTACAGGTGTCTACTTGAACCATAAGACACTTATCTCCACCTCCATTCAATATCACAGACAAATGAACAGCAGTCTGCAAAGGTGAAGGGTAGTTCTGTCGTACTCTAGAAGGTAATATTTTAAGTTATTAACCGAAAATATTATGAAAACGTGAATATTCGAAAAAAAATAAGAAAACGTTAAAATGTTAAATTTTTAAATATTTTTGGTTAGTCTTTTTTTAGTATTAAATTAAGCTATCGTCCCTTATACATTTCCTAAAAAGAAAGAAGCTAACCGATAGCAGGTTTGGAAACACTCATATCTACTTTACAGGTATCTACTAGTGCCATAAGACACTTATCTCACCTTTGGTTAGTCTTTCTTCAATTCTTCCTAAAGCGGTAGAAGCGGTGCGCTTTGTGCCCCTTCAAAAAGCGTGAAAAGCGAGCGCCTAAGAGAGCTTCTCGTTTATCGCTTCGCCTACACCTTTGGAGGCCCTGCGCTTTCTTTTCAAAACTAAGATCCTTTCAGGTGCAACACTTGGAAGTTTGCAACAAGCATTTGGATAAGTAAACACATGAAGCACTAGGTTAAGCTCAATATATTAAATTGTTTGGCCGTCTGTGCAAACTTAAGAAAAAACTCAAAACTAATCGTGGGAGTGACCTAAAGGCAACTCCAAGCAAACATGACATCAATTATCATAGTATTCTACATACATCAAACTGCAATTATGCTGGGAGGGAACCTGAAAGTTTGGTTCCCCATGATAAAATCAAAGCACTTAGCTTACAGATAACTTGTCTGGACCCGGAATTATTCTTCACATTTCAACACTACTTCATTCAGATGTCATTCGGTTAGCTAACAGGAATTAGGTAATTTAAACTAGCTATGAGGGACATCACTTTCACAATAAAAGTTTAAAAGCAGAAAACTTTATCAGAAAGTAGATCTACTAGACAACCTGAAGCGAAGTTTAATTTCCATAAGATCCGAACCACAAAAACTTCCACAGAAAGTATTAGAACCCATAGGCAGAAACAAGAGGAGGGGAAATTGGAACATTACCTACAGGAACAAGAGGGTTTCTAACCCGCTTCTTCTCCTCCAACAATTCTTCCAAACTAGGTTCTCCCGCACCCATTTTTCACCCCCGCTTCTTTTTCCCGCAGCAAAACCTTTCAAGAGTTGAGAAAATTAAACAACGCAAAGGATTTGAAGAAGTAAATTCTATTTTGCAAATTTAATGAAGCAGTAAGGCCCATTGAGTTAAATGGACTCTCGCCATTTTTTTCCTGGCTTCGTGGATAAATAAGCTCCACCCTTTTTTTCTTTGGTATGATAGACCCAGCTAATCCAACTATTAGTTCATTGGTCACATTTAAAAAATATATATAATTTAATTTAATTTAATTAAAATATTATTATAAATATATCATTATTCTTAAAAATAAAATAAAACATAGTTTATATTTGAGTTAGGTCGGTAATATTAATCTATTGGGTTTGAGTTTATATAATATGTTGGGTCTGTAACATTTTTTTATTAATATAATACGATAACATTATAAATAATAATATATGTTTTAAAGATATGAACATTTAAATACTCTGATAGTTGTTAGTACTTAAATTCAAGAGGTAAAAGAGTAACTTTTACCCCTATAGTAGATTCAATTTATCATTTTCGTCTCTATCGTATTTTCGTATCAATTTAACCCTCCAAATTATTCAATTACATCATTCTATATCCTACTCTACTTAAAACCATAAAATAAGGGTTTTAAGTTAGGTGTAGGAAATAGAATGATGTAATTGAACAACTTGGAGGGTTAAATTGATGCGAAAATACGATAGGGACGAAAATGATAAATTGTATAGAATGATATAATTGAACAACTTGGAGGGTTAAATTAATATGAAAATATGATAGGGGCGAAAATAATAAATTGGATCTACTACAAATACAAATGAGACAATTAAATCAACCCACAACCTTTAAAAATAATAATCATCATTCATCTACCGACGTCATGCGGATATGTCACATTTAAATGTTAATAAACAAGTTAAGATGATGACGGCAACTTATGTTAAACAATGCTTAACGTCTTTTCTCATGTTTTTCAAGTGAGTTTGATTGGGATTAAAGAAGTCATGAATGAATTAAAACTAAACAGACAGGAGTTAGTTGGTTCATTTCTTCAAAAACACATTTGCAACAATGATTACCTAACACGTTGATTGCTATTTCAAACCATTTAAATTTTCTCATAAATAATCTATGTATATATAAACATATCAGTAGTTGGGACTTAAACCAACTTGATAACAATAAAATTAATACCATATGAATACCGACTAACTATATAACATGTTTAACCAGGCCGTCCCAAATATATGGGTAGGTTCTATATTACTTTTTCAAACGAGGTTCCTAAGATATCTTACAATAAAAATTAATTTGTTAAAATTGAAATTATGAGAGATCTATGAGGTCCTTTTACCAAAATTCATCATAGAAAACGATTAAAGATATTGTCAAAATCTTTGTTTGTAACTTTATATGTCACTTTTTCGAGAACCAAACAAAAAATTTATTTTTCCTTTTGAACGAATATATCATTAGGACACAAAAGTTGTATATGGACAAACATGAATGACATTCATGTATAGGCCCCAAATTTAAGGACCCTTTAACATATTACGTAGTACACATGCAAATGGACAGGCCTAAGTTTAACGTAATTAAGTGGGAAAATATTAAACAAGTATATTTGATCGGTTAGTCAAATTACTTATTTTTATTTCCTTATATTCTCTCATGTTTTATGAACACTTTCCTTCCTCCCCCATTAGACAAGAATAAAACCAAGATTCCAATTCAAGGGGATAAAATGCAATTAATCTTATAAAATGAGAGGATAAAGTATAATTAACCATAAAAAATAGAAGAGTAAAATTAAAATAAATTAAAATTTGATACCTTAATTTAATATGTATTAATATAATAAAACTTAAGAGACAGTGACTCCTAAAATAAATATAATTTTGTTTTTAAAATTAAGATTAAATTTAAAATTTATGAAAAAAATATACCGATCGTTTTACTTTAAATTGAATTAAAAGAAGAAATGGATTATTATATTAAAAAAATAAAGGAGGAGTGAATGTGTCAAAATAGAACGGTCCAATGGGGATTTGACATTTAAGAAATTCAAATTAAGAAAACATTTAAGAAATTTAAAATATTAATTAATCGCTCCCTTTGGGCCTATACTCTTTTTTTATAATAAGAATACACCAATTAACAGACATTTGTGATAAAAAAATTATTGATATTTTTTAAGGTTAAAGTTCGAGCATCATATATATCAGGAGTATGAGTGTTTAATGTCAAAAAGTTAAGAATTATCCGTAAATAATATTATCTTATACTTACTCCAAATTAATCAAATAAAAATAACAATAATAAATATCTTTTGTGGTTCTAAATAAAAACTCAAGGTCTCCCACCCATGGATTTAATGTAGTAGGTATCACTTCAATGACCAATTCCTAAACTTCAATGTTGGACTTGTAATTTATAATTTATTATAGATTTTTTAATTGATTAAAGAGCTGTCATATATATATATATTTTACAATATTTTTAAGGGTACATATCATCTATTATAAAATTAATTTTTATGTTAAAAATAAATTATTTTAATCTTATAGAACTTTCACGAGTAAAGGCGGATCATCATTCATCATTTAGTAAATTAATTTCATCTATTCATCTAATTTGTTATTCATATTATCTGGTAAATCTCCAAGTAGTAGAGTAGTAATAGAATTGCCGAATTGGTACAGAAGTGAAAAGAGTGAGAATCATGTGATCCACCCCTCTCTCTTTCTGTTAATCCAGCTCAAAAGATCATAAATCTATCCGCCCATAAAAACCGTACGACTCCCCCTATTTGCTTTCTTGTTTTGTGTTTCAATGGCTTCAAGTGCTTCCAGGTTTATGAAATGTGTAACAGTTGGAGATGGAGCTGTTGGCAAGACTTGCATGCTTATTTGCTATACAAGTAACAAGTTCCCCACTGTATGTTCTGTGTTTTTCCCTCTATTCTTATCTCTCTGGGTATATATCTGAGTTTTGTTCCTTCTCTTTTTTGTAGTCTTCTTTAATGTTTTAGCTACTCAAGTTTCCAGTTTTTTTTTCACCCTGTTCCATGTAAAGACTCTAGCTTTATAGTTCTGAACATGTTTTTGCTTAATTATTCATGATCATGAAAAGTACATCTTTTTGGGTTCTTGCAACTTAGCTAAAATTTATTATCTGGGTTTTTCTCATTCTTCAATTTCATGGGATCTTTTTCTTTTTTAAGGTTTTAGCTACTCAAGTTTCCAGTTTTGTTTTTACCCTGCTCCATGTAAATACTCTAGCTTTATAGTTCTGAACATGTTTTTGCTTAATTATTCATGATCATGAAAAGAATATCTTTTTGGGTTCTTGCAACTTAGCTAAAATTTATTATCTGGGTTTTTCTCATTCTTCAATTTCATGAGATCTTTTTCTTTTTTAAGGTTTTACCTACTCAAGTTTCAAGTTTTTTTTTACCCTGCTCCATGTAAAGACTCTAGCTTTGTAGTTCTGAACATGTTTTTGCTTAATTATTCATGATCATGAAAAGTGCATCTTTTTGGGTTCTTGCAACTTGGCTAAAATTTACTATCTGGGTTTTCCTCATTCTTCAATTTCATGGGATATTTTTCTTTTGAATCTGAGATTTAATTTGGAATTCTTGTCAGGATTACATACCGACCGTTTTCGACAACTTCAGTGCCAACGTTGTAGTTGAAGGCACAACTGTGAACTTAGGTCTTTGGGACACGGCTGGTATCATTTCCACTTGACCTTTTATGCTTTTATGTTTGTCCTCTACTTCTTAACAACTGTGCTAAAAAAGGTTCCAATTTACAGTCATTATGGCTGTCAGGGCACTGACTTTCCCAAGGAAAGTTCTTTGTTCTATTTTTTTTTCAAAGTGAAATTCGATAAATATTTTTCTTTAAATCTAAACCTGTTTTGAATTTTTGACGACTTTCCGTAGGACAAGAGGATTACAATAGATTAAGACCATTGAGCTATAGAGGTGCAGATGTGTTTGTCTTAGCTTTCTCGTTAGTTAGTCGAGCGAGTTATGAGAATGTACTGAAAAAGGTGCTAATCATGGATCTTGAACTTCTTTCTACAATTGTGATGTTTTATAGTAATGTTCTGCAATTCCCTAACACACTGATTTCCTTGACAGTGGATCCCTGAACTTCGACATTATGCCCTGGGTGTCCCTGTGGTTCTGATTGGCACAAAATTGGGTAATTGTGCAACCACATCATTTGCATTTCTATAATCACTTCATTTTCAATCTAATTTGATCTCAATTTAGTTCCTCGCATTCTAGATTTTGTAGTACAGTAGCATCACCAGATATAGTTTAAAAGTTGAATGATATTCATGCTTTCAAGTGGAGTAATATTTCTGACTGCAGCGAGTAATTGTTGCAAGCAATGAGCTTTGACAAGGATATATGAACAGTGTATGTTCTAAAACAGAAACTTTCAATTGTGTATCCAAAATTGGTGATTTCAATTTGGTAGTGACTGCAAGGGAGATTCAAGTATGCGGTAAATATAATGAAGAGGTACCAGAAGTGGCACTCATTTACACGTGTAACGGAAACTACTTGATGTGCTAGAGATTTGGTTTAGACAAAGTTATGTCCTGTAGAGAAGGAAGGATATAGACCGAGGCAGTTAAACTCAGGAGAACAAATGAACAGAAAATATTACCTTGAATCTGCCAAGATGAGAGGAATTCGTTTATGATTTCGATGCTATTTTGTTGTAAGCATTGGTCTGAACTCATACTTGTTTGAACATCATGTGTTGTTTGATCTAACAATGGCCATGCTCATCTGAAAGCTAAATGCAAAATTGAAGGCACATATAGTTTACGTCAATTGCATCTGCAGAACTAGCTGATTACTTCAATAGCAAGTTTGGAATTTATTGATTCACTTTCAGTTAAAAAGCTTAGCGCCATCTTCTCTCCGTCGTTTTCATTCTTTGGTAAAATGTGTGTTCTTAGTACGGTACAATATGCCTCCAGAATTTTTTGCTTTATTCTGGTGTTGCATTTTAAAAGTTCTGCTGGATAGACCACTTGTCCAGTTAATCAACCACATGAACACTTGACCGCTTTCATGTAGAAATAAAAATTGTGGGTTATCACGTATTCTAAAAAGGGGATTATAATTTCAGTGAACCTGCAACTTTTATGGTGCTCATTTGAATTGATATTTGAATGATCCATGTCCTTCAAACGGTGCCTGTCAAAGTTGATTTTGTAAATTCAGCAACACTGTGACTTTTATGTGTCCGTATGGTGGATGGCATACTAATTTCTCTTTTAATATGGACAAATAGATCTTCGTGAGGACAAACATTATCTGGCTGATCATCCTGGTTTGCTTCCTGTTAGCACTGCACAGGTGTGATTTCACTCACTCGTGGTAAATGTAATAGATTTATCAGTGATTTATTATCTTAATCATCCTATCAAAACAGGGTGAGGAGCTCCGCAAACAGATTGGTGCTGCTTATTACATTGAGTGCAGCTCAAAAACACAGCAGGTATGACAAAAACTTGGAACCTACTCCCTATTAATGTCATTGGTAGACTTGGGTCTCTCAAGGACATCTCAGAGGAGCTCTTGGTGGCCTGGTTAATAGAAATGAACTCTTTGAACTTAATAACTAGTTAAACCTTTATCTATTGATATGCATCATGCCATTTAATTAATAGTGAAGACCCTATTTCAGCCTGCTCATTGATTGATATACTCTTTGCCTTTACGAGGTTATATCACAACACAGGACATCCTTTATTTAATATATATCTCTGTCCAGTTATTATTTCCTCACATTTGCAGAATGTGAAAGCAGTTTTTGATGCTGCAATCAAGGTTGTCATCAAGCCACCGCAGAAACAGAAGGAGAAGAAGAAAAAGCCAAATCGAGGATGTCTGATGTCAGTGTTTCTTTTCTTAAATTTCTGGGTGCTTGTTATATTAGCATCTGATTGTCGAACATGTGAATTTTCCTGCATGACATTCTGCTTTATGCTGGGAAATTTTAAAGCCACTGCACCTAAGGGCAATTGTTGAGGTGCAAATTCATAGATGTTAGCCTGAAAGTAATGATATGGCACATTAGATGTTATCAACATTCGGCACTAAGAATTTCGAGTTGTGTCCGAGTTCATGCTTCTAAATTCACTTTGTTTAGGGATGGGAGTAGTTTCTTGTATTCTAAAATTTACATTTCTTTAATCCAGAGCCTATAAGTCCCCAGGCATGATCATTTCTTTATTTAATTTGCAGGAATATCTTCTGCGGAAGGAACTTTGTGCCTCCCAAGTGAAACAGTTTGCTTTCCTTCAAACCAGAAGCTTAAGCTCCTCCTGGTACTGACCGCTATTCCAGTGTCTTCGCCTAGAGATTCTTTTTAGCAAACAGGATCAAGTGAGTTTGCTTCTACTGGATTACTCAGCATTACTTCTCCCTCAAAATCGCACTGTGGTTGTTTACATTTCTAATCTTACGGTCTAGTTATAGTAAAAGAATATATATTTGGCTGCTAATTTACTATATTGATCTCTTTGTATAGAGTTAAAACTTAAATCGATTTATGGTTTCTTGTACTGTGCATGAAAAAAATGTGGTTCGACATTCGAGTCTTTTTTTCCAAGTAGAAATGCTGTCTGTCATGTTTTCTCTAGTTAATTTGTAATGCATAATTTGATTTCTTGCAATTATGGAGTCTTTTTCAATTCATCGTGAGAGCTTTCGCCATATTTGAACTGTATCATCCAGGCCCCCACTTAATCAAAGCTTGAGCAATCTGTATTTCTTTTTTGCCCTTTTTGGGGGAGAAATTCGCACTATATGAAGTATAAGGATGAAAGGAGTAAAAAATGAAAGGAACCCCCCCCCCAGTAAATATGGTTAGAAAATGAAAAAAAAGTGTAAATTCATATTTATAAGATCATGTTTCTTTTTCTAATTTTCAATTTTCTAGTCATCAATTTCAATTCCAAATTTTTCAGCCAATGAATGATAATATTTTTCCCCATTTTCCCGTCAGTTTGATCAAAAATATATATTATTTTAATTTTCTTCATTTTACCAAGCAAAAAACCCATGTGTTATCTTCTATCATCCTTATGTCTTGGTATGAGTTGGGATAGCATTTCTCTTCTTCATGTCCATGAGTTTTGCAAAATCCAAACATCTCAGAGATAAAGAGGTAGGTAGGACTTATTGAACGAACAGCACTGTTTCGCATGCGCCAGAAACTCGGAAACACATTGGAATAGCCTTGTAAAGAAAATGTGAAGCTAAACGACTTGATGTCTAGTAGATAATCAGAATTCTCCTGCACATCTTAACGTTCAAGACCACCTCTCCTTTTGTGCGCAATTCTGAGCATTAATATACATACCATGCATGTACATACTAAACAAAATAGAAGCACAAGTTCCGGCCTCCATAAGTTGGACACTACAGAATAATATACACGAATCTGGAAAATTAGAGTAACTTTCTTCTCAATTCAATTTATTTAAAGTCCAGTGACTTTCTTCTCGATTCAATTTATTTAAAGTCCAGTCATAGCTTTACTTAAAGCACAAACAAACATACGCTGAAGCACATAGTCCTAACACAGTCAAAGACATGAACCGAAATGAATTGATCTGAACAGAACAGAACAAAACATTTCCATTATCTTTAATGAACAGAAAGAAATGTAAGCAAATGGAAATTTGAAGTGAATAGATCAGTGGCTGATCACAAGCCCCAGAATCCAACTTAAGTCGGTTCAACATATCTACTTCAATCAACAGCAAAAGAACATATGACGTATAGTTGCCCACACTAGTGTTTTGCTATTATTAAATTTCCCTGCACTCTTAATAACATCGATAGCAAACAAACTTGACACCAATTAAAACAGTAGCATATCAACTACAATTAGAGTTTATCAATTAAATAAACGATTTGAATACATCATCAACCACAGCAACTAACTCATGCCACATAAGAGAAGGTTTCAATATCAAAATTCAGTGACCACTTTAATTGGGAAAATAAGAAAGTAAAAGAGGGGGGGGGGGCGGGAGGAATAAAAAAGTCGAGAAAGATATGCACTAAAAACCAGTATGGGCACCAATTTTTAATGTCTGGGCGATAATAAGGGCATGATTTCCAACAGTTATGATATCTACAAGAGGAAAATGATCTTTATCCAGAACAGGTTCAAGGAACAAAGCTTTGAATACCTCGAACAGATTCTTTTACAGTACAGATGATACAGCGAAAAGGTGGGGGTTACAGACTATGAACAACACCAAATGGCTCACTTACCACCCATCCTCTAGAGAACACAAGTTAGAAGACATGTGAGGGTTAGCCAATGACCGTCCTTGAAGAACTGAAAAAGAAATAAACATCAAATTGGTCAATGAAAAAATCCATAATTCTGACATAATTTCTCTCACCGTGCACCATCAAGAGTGGGCACGGAAATAGCAAAACTGGGGGAGGAAAAAAATGAAGGCCTTGCCAAAAGGAGCTCAGAAGGAACATAAATGACTCACAAGCTTAATGGGCCACTAGACAGTAATATTCAATGATTTCTACTGCCATGAAGATTGCTTGTTTCCATCCCATCCTCCCTCAGGTTCCTTCCTTTTCAAAACCCCACCTGATATCTGATACATTCTTGCTTGTTCCTCTGCCAGGGCTTGTGAACTGGCAACAGACAGATGCCTATATGCAAGAGGTGCTGTCTCATCTCTTCCTTCAATGTCTGGGCCTCCAGGCCCAGCATTTAAGTCTAGACCTTGCCTTCCCCACTTCTTTCCACCCTCGACACCACTATTATAGCTGCCGTCAGGAAGCCTAACAACATAGGACGGCCTTGGGTAATGGGACGGAACTGCACCAGCAGGTCCCAACAATTGCGAATGAACTGGGGGGAAACAAAACCCCCTACCAGAAGATGAATCAGCATAAGTTGTTGAACTGCCAGAAAAGCTGGTTGAAGGAAGAGGGAAAGTTGTTCCAAAGGGAAACACAGGATACTGGAAAGGAGTAGATGGGAAGGGCCCTGCTGGTTCAGATGACAACACAGGTCCCCTGTAAATATCAGAATTGTAAGGGGTGGCACCAGTAGAGGGGGCCAACACCCTTTGTGGTCCACCAGTTGCAACAATTGGAAAAGGTTGTTCCCTATCAGGAGAAATTGACGGAATAGTAACAGCTGAGTATGTATTCCCTGCAGGAAACCATGACGAGAAATTTGCCATCTCGGTATTGTTTATCTGCAGGCCAGGAACTGGTGCTCGAGATAGCATGTTGCTGTTCCTACCATGATGGCTAAATAGCAATGGCTCAGCACTCACCTCATCCACAGTAGGTCCATTGTTCAAATCAAAGTCCCTGCGGAAACTTGCCTCACCATTAAGAATACGAACTGCCGACTTTGGATGATGCATTGGAGCATCTATTTTATGACCATTGCCACTAGAGTGACCCAAATCGGCAGGCTCGTCAACTCTGTTCAAATCAAGATCAATCCCACCAGAGGAGCGATAGGGTGCAGAACCCACCATTTCACAATTCAAATCATGATTGTTTGAAAGGTCTGGTGCAGAGTCTGTGCCATGAAGATCCTCGAGGACTTTCTCATCAGGTACATTCAAATCAATATCCAAGGGGGGACGACTCTGTTTCCCAGTAGTAGCATCAGGAATGGAAGTGTTACTTATACCCAGAGGCATATCTAGACTTTTTCTGGGTTCAGCTGGCCGAAATGCACTTGTAGCTGCTGATCCCTTCCAACCAACTGCCCCTTTAGTCCTTAGTAGGTCATTTGGGGGAACAAAGGGCCCTTTAGCAGCAGCAGCAACAGTAATTGAAGCAGGAAGACTGCTTGAAACAGAAGAAACAGGGAAAGCCAATGAGCTGATTAATTGGACAGCAGCTGAGCATCCAACTGCTTTCAAGTTATTTGGTTCCACAGATTTCCCCTCCTCTGCATTAAAGTCTTTATTCAAGTCAAATTCTACTTTTGCATCTGCATCTGCATCTGCAACACCTATACGAGGAGTTTCAGTAGTAACTGATGTGCATTCTTCCGCATCATCTGCTTCTACACCAGTCACCTTAGATCCCCTTGGCCTCTTAGGTTGTTCTGTTTCTGGTGATGCCTTACAAGGAGATGGTCCACCAGGTGGTTCATGACCCTCGCTACATTGCATGTTCTCCTGCATGTGCTCACCTTTCTGGGCAGTGACAACTGAAACAAGACATTCAATTTAATTACCAGTTTGAGGGGGGAAAAACGTAAAATGAAAGTTTAAAATTGAGTAAATATACATTTGGTACCTGAACTAGGCACTTCTCCCAAGGTGGTACCTAAAGAATTTTTGCTCCCAAGTTGATACCTGAACTTTAATATCCGTTGTTTTGATACTTTTATTAACAGTGTTAACTTTTTGATAACATAAGATTGTACATGTGTCAATGATGACGACATCTTGTGTGTGTTTTAAAAAACCCTTTGAATTTTGAAAAAAGATTATTAAAAGTACCAAAATAGTGGATGGAACTAAAGTTCGGGTAGCAGCTTGGGAGCAAAACTTCTTTAGGTACCAATTCGGTAGACGATGCCTAGTCCGGGTACCGCCTCGGGAAAAGGTGCCTACTTTAGGAATCAAATGTATATTTAAGCCTCTAAAATGATAAGTACTAAGACAAATAAACAAAGCATTACCTTCCGACTCAAGTTTTTTACTGGCATGACTCGATGCATCAATCTCAACATCCTTCTCGGGCTTGGCTTCATCAACATTTTCCAAAGTGATATCTTTAGTAGGACAAGGAGGCAATGCTTCTTTATATGTCTCTTTGATGGAATGTCCAGTAACAACTGACAACTTCTGATGAGCCCGTGAACCTCTCTCCAAACCTTCGGTTGCAATTTTCTTGTTATCAACACCAACTTTAGTTGAAGGTACAGATGAAGATCCTTCAACCACTTCTTTATCCACTTTTACAACTGGATCAATGACCTCTTCATTCACCACAGAAGTGCTCCCCTTTTGTTTAGCATCCCCACTGCAATCATCATCCACTCCAACGGACTTTTTCTCCATATGCTCTTTGGAATCTCTAATATCATTAGTTTTCTCCATACTGCGTGCAGAGGGCATACTGACTAAAGCCGCTGTTATAACTTCCTTTAATTTACCATTTTCAAGGCATTGGTCCGCAATCTGTGGCAAAGCCATGCTTGAAGAAGATAAATGCTCATTCAGCTCTCCAAAATTTTCCAGAGCAGAACCAGTCTTGCTGTTGGCATTTTGTGCCCAAGAATTACCAGCAGCAACACCCTGCTTTTGATAATGATCAACTGCACCCTCAGCAGACTGATTTTGATTTCGAACAATCTCATCCCCAGAATGAGGTTTTAATTTTGTATCATTTCCCGTGGAAGAATGCTCAATAAGAGGGGTATTTCTTTGCAGAGAATCAATAGGCGAAGCCAAATTTGACTTAGAGAAGTCTCCAGTAGCCACACTAGCAAGCAAATTCATTCCAGCATCATCTCCGACTGGTATGCACTCGCTTGCTTCGGAGTA